AGAGACTTTATTTTTGATATTTCCTCTCTGGTCTGGAGTCAATGATGTTGCTATAAGAGGTGTCTGGTAGCCACAGGGTACGTGCCTGTTTGATGTAAGAGTTATTAGTGATACAATGATACCATAATGATACAATGATGCAATATTTGAAAAATTATAAATGAGAATATATATACAGTACCTTTATAAATTTAAATCTATAGCTATTATTATATTTAATATAATCAATACATTCTTAAAAATTGGTATACCGAGACCTAAATGAATTAATAAGTTTTAATATTCTACGGTTGATAACAAACAGTGTACAGTATACATGTACATGTATAGTATCAGCATGGAGTACATGTACATTTATGTTTATTGCATTTACATGTAAATGTTGCTACATGTACAGTGTGCAAGTGTAATATTTATTGGCTCAATTGTATGTACATGTATGACTATAATATACATGTGGAGGTTTACCAATTCACTGGTATATACTATACATGTATTCTCTTAACTCTTATTGACTCACAGATTGATAAAGGAGTGTACATATCAAGGAAGCTATTGTTTGCTGGTATGCTGTTGAGAGTCAGTGGATTGTGGACTAAAGGGGAAACTGTCAAGAGTGGAGTGCATTGTGACTGGCTTTTTTGTTTTTTTTTTGTTTTTTGTTTTTGTTTTACTGTGTATGTACATTACACTCTGTTACTTTTGTAGACCTGTTTGATGCATGACATTATAATTATTGACATTATTATTTTGCGTGTATATGTACATGTACAATTACAATTTTACATGTCTGTAAATTGTGTTTAGATCAGCCTCATTGCAATTCTTCCTATTCATGCAAGTCAGTTCAGAGATATGGGAGTTTGATCCCAATGGTCAGTTACTGTATCCTCATTGTGCTAGTACATATTACTAGTGTTTAGGTGATACTTACTTTGATGAAGCAGTTGATGGTTTTTGAAGGATCTCTTCTCCGTTTGGAAGGTACAGTACATGCAGTGTGTGTATTGATGGACACATTCATTGCACATGAACATTCTCCTATTATGTTGTACATGTTCTTATCACTGGATTTCATGAGTTTTACTTTAAGCATAAAAGCATAATTCACATTCTTTCTACAAATAAATGTATAATTCTTTCTCTTTGTCTCTGTCTCTCTCCCCCTCTCCCTCTTTTAGGTGTGATTCCATTGATAAACTCCGTAAAAGGTGTGAGACCATTAATTGAGAGATACAGGACTCACAACAGTTCAAGAACTTCTACCAGTTTACGTTTAATGTTGCCAAAAACTTGGGGCAGAAAGGACTGGGCTAGTGACGTAATATTATACATGTACATGTACATGTAGGATCATGTTTGCTAAACTTGCCACACAATGATTTCAATGTACACGTGTTGATGGGGGAATTTTGCAAGTGATCCTACTAAAATTTGAGAATACATGTACATGTATAATTTAATGTATATTGTATGAATTGATTAAAATATTTTGTGCTTTTTATTTTCTACAGATCTTGAGATGGCCATTGCCTACTGGAATCTTATTTTTACTGGTCGCTTCAAATTTTTGGACTTGTGGTGTGAATTTTTAAAAGTAAACAATACTTGTAATTACATGTAAAGGTTACATTTCATTTCTCTCTTTCTCTCTCTCTCTCTCTCTGTCTCTCCTTTTCTCTCTCCCTCTCTCAGTCTCATTATAAAAGAGCTGGCAATACCCAAAGGCACTTGGAACCTTCTGCTAGAGTTTTCTAACAGGATTGATGCACCATGAGCAATTATGATGAAGATGGTAGGTCTATACTGTGAAAATTGTAATGTCCTCCTCTTTAAATAATTTGTATTTTGTACAGCACTTTAATGTATAGCAGCTTTATTTCTTTGTAAATTTTTTGATGATTTTATGCATACATGTACAGCACTTTACTATGAACATGTACATGTACATTAATAATTATATGGTGGGTTTATTATTCATAGGTCAGTCTATACTCTAACTACATGTGTGTATGTACATGTACAATGTATACATATTTCTTGTCAGGTGTGAATCTAGGATTTCATTTTTGGGGGTGCAATTATGAGATTGGATGGGGTAATTAGGGTGTTATACTACATGTACCTGTACATGTATAGTCTTTAGTTTTTTTG